TGCCAGAGCTGGGAGGGGACAGATCCCATCCTTTGGAGGGGACAGATCCCATCTCTGGGAAGGGACAGAGCTGGCTCTGGGAGGGGACAGATCCAATCCTGAGGGGACAGATTCCCTCCAAAGATGGGATCTGGAGGGGACACTGCAGATCCCCTCCAGATCCCATCACTCAGAGGGGACAGATCCCATCACTCTTGCACCTGGCTGGGTTTTTCTCTGTTTGTTATTTTGCCTTTTATTAAAACATTCTTGTTTCCAACGCTCCCACAAAAGCCATCCTGCTGATTTTATGCCTTATAAAGTAGCTGAGCTATCTTGGGTGTGAAATAAATCTCCAAGAGCTTGAGAGGAGATCCATATTTCAATCTCCCTGCAGGAGGAGGTGGCAGTGCCCAGGGGTGGGTGACACTGGGCTGTGGAGCATCTCCCTCCTCTCACCAGGAAATCTGGGGCTGCAGGAGCTGAGATCAATGAGATGGGGGGCAGCGTGGCTGTTGGATTATATCTTTTTCTTACCCAGAAATGGAGGTTTTGAGAGGTGTTTTAAACCCTTTTATTCAATTTTTAGTCTCATGTGAAGGGTGAGACAATACAGGTGTTACAATTCACACCATCACAATCAGAAGGTATCTCCTAATTACAAAGCACTTTATCAGCTTTACCCACACCGTGCAATTTTCTATAAATCCATTTCCCACCTCTAACTGGTGATGCCATTGATTCTGTCCTGCCTCTCTCTTGTCCCCAGGCTGGCCCAGTCCCTGCTGGCCCTGTTTGCCTCGTCCCTGGCCATCTCTCTGGTGTTTGCCATCATCCCCCTGTGCCACAACGTGGTGGTGCTGGCCGTGGTCATGGCCGTGGCCGGGCTGGCCATGGGCTGCATCGACACCATCTCCAACATGCAGCTGGTCAAGATCTACCAGAAGGACTCTGCCATCTTCCTGCAGGTGAGAGCGGGGTCCCCAACGCCCCTGGGCTGCTCTAGGGTGGACTTTAGTTGGAAATTCTTCCCAAAAAGGGTCCTTGGGCATTGGGAGGGTGGAGGCACCATCCCTGGAGGTGTCTGAGGAAAGCCTGGCTGTGGCATTGTGGGGCCAGGATGGACTTTAGGAGGAATTTTTTCCCAGAAAGGGTCCTTGGGCATTGGAAAGATGGCATCACCATTCCTGCTTGTGGACTGGGGTGCCTCCACTACCCNCTGCTGGCAGAAGCACCAGAGTGCCCCAGATTGGTGCTGGGATTTTTTTTTTTTAATTCAGAAATGGCATTTTTGTGTCTTGTTAAAAATTTGCTTTTTTGGGGCAGCCCTGGGCTGATCCCAGTGCTATGGGCAGGGAGCAGGAGGGAACTGGGGGAACTGGAGCTGTGCTGGAGATCCTTTAGCTGAGTCCCCAACCCCACCTGGGGCCTGGCACTGGCAGCAGCAATGCCTTGGTCCCCCCTTGTGCCACCACCCTGGGCTGGTGGCATTTGCAGGGGCACCATTGTGTCATTAACCCATGGCTGGAGGCAGGGATTTTCACCCGGGGTGACATTTTTAATGCTCATTAAGGACATTAAACCCCCCCAGTCAGTGTTTCACTGGTGATGAAGCTGCTCCCAGCCAGGCAGGGGGGTCCTGCAGAGTTTTCTCTGTGCTTTTCAGGGTGTGCATGACTCTGCATCAGACAGCCCATGAAATGTAGGATAGTTCAAATCTCCACAAAAAACCCAAACATTTTGGAGTTTTGGGGATGCTCTGGGAGGTTTCCCCATCGCTCCCAGGCTCGGGTTCCCCAGCTCTGGTGCCTCTGCACACCCTGGAGGGAGCAGCCTCGGAGCTGCTCCTGTCTCATTTGCCAAGCGCTTTTCCTGCCGTGACTGTGCACATCTCCCAGCTCCCTCCCTCCTTCCCTCCTTCCCTCCCCCAGAAATCCCACGGCTCTGCTGTCAGAGGACCATCAGTAGTCACAGCTTGGAAAACACTGGCTGCTGCTCCTGCCTTGGGCTGGGCACCGGGAGGCTCTGGCACGGCCAGAGGGGCAGGAGGAGCACGAGCAGGACATGGAGGGCCAGGTCACTGTGGGGCTGCAGGTGGAGGAGGGCTCTGACAGGGCCGGGGACGGTGACAAGGCCAGAGAGAAGTGACATGGCCAGGAACAGTGACAGGGCGAGGGCTGTGATATGGCCCAGGGACAGTGACATGGCCAGGGACAGTGACAAGGCCAGTGACAGGCTGAGATCTGTGATAAGGCCCAGGAACAGTGACAAGGCCTGGGACAGTGACAGGCCCAGATCTGTGATATGGCCCAGGGACAGCAGCAGGCCCAGATCTGTGATTATGGCCCAGGAACAGTGACAAGGCCTGGGACAGTGACAGGGCCAGGGCAGTAACAGGCCTAGATCTGTGACATGGCCAGGGACACTAACATGGCCCAGGGACAGTGACAGGCCGAGATCTGTGATATGGCCCAGGGACAGTGACAGGGCAGGGCAGTGAAAGGCCCAGATCTGTGACATAGCCCAGGAACAGTGACAGGCCCAGATCTGTGATTATGGCCCAGGAACAGTGACAAGGCCTGGGACAGTGACAGGCCCAGATCTGTGATAAGGCCCAGGGACAGTGACATGGCCATAGCCTGGCTGCTGGGTCTCCTCCACCCTCCTCCTCCTCCTCAGAGCCTTCTCCAGCCAGGCTGGGGGTGTGGAGCAGGGATAGGGTTTTTCCTTGCAGGGTTTTCCTTGCTCAGACCCACATTCCCCAATTACTGAT